CTCACGGGGCCCCCAATAACCCCCACGGGACCCCCATTCTCCCCGAAACTGCCTCGAAACGCCGACATACTATCCCGCCGCATTTGTCGGAGTCGCCGTCTGTGTCGTTTGCTCTTGCCGTCATACTTGACGTGTCCCGAGCTGCCCGAGCTGCAGCTGCCGAGGTCGCTGTCACTGCTGTGTTGGCTGCTGCTGCTGTGGCCCTCCTCGTCTCCTTCATAACATGTGTCGTTGCCATGTTCTGGTGGAGTGTCCGCAGCGAGTGGTTCTGGTGGTGCAGCAGCAGCTGTAAACTGACCAGCTTTGTTGAAGGCGCGCTTCCTTTTTGGAGGACGCCCGGCACCACGACGCCCGGACATGTGTAGACTTGTGTGGGCCCTCTTGGGGTGCCCGGTGCTGCTGTATGGTGCGGGTTATGGTGTTCNAGGGCACCTGAAATGCGGTTTTCTGCCCATATCTCCGTTGTTTATTAGCGAAAATAAAGCTGAGTTGTGTCGCCGTGAGCCCCTGGGCGTGATACGTTCAAAACCGGTCTAAAAAAATATATATGACCTCACACTCGACCAAATAAAACCAACCAAAATCGTCCAAAATCTCCACGGAATCGTGATTTTCTCGCCAACCAACAAAAAAACAAAAAATTTGCTCCATCCAAACGATCCGCCGGAAACAGAGCTTTCTTACGATATAAAGTATGTCACTAGGGGGTACGTCAGTCACTCAAAACAATTCCCAAGGTGATTTCAGGAGATGGTGGCAAAATTTAACCGGACGGACTTTACGAGTCCAGCCGTGCAGATGATTATTTGTCCGCCCTGCGGCATTCGGTTGTCACCCGCACAGACGGAAAAAGTATTCCAATTGCGTCCGAATTCGTTTTGAATCTCCAAGCCGCGCTCGAAACCGTGTCTACGGGGGAGTACAGCTGCGGAAAGCATTGTTCTCGCCGTCCTTGAGAACTACCATTTGAAGGCAGGAAAGTACAGCGCTCTACCCCCAGACATAAGAGCGGCCACCGCAAAAGTAGGCGGAGTGGAGCGAAGAATGGACGAGAGGATGGACCGTATAGAGGGAATGTTGGTTGGCGTGTGCGAGAGACTGGAAGAAGAGCTCTCGGCTCGCTTGCCATACGCAGCAGATGATGTGGTGAAAATGAGGGGAGCCTATGGATGAGTCGAGGGCAAAGCGCGCCAAACTACGTGCTTGTTGATGCTGTTTCCCCTTCGCTTGCCCTCGTGGTTAAGGTTTAGTCGTTCTCGAAGACCATTGGTGGTATGGTGTAATGTAGTCGCTCTTCTTAGACTAGGCATCGATTGGTTGGACAAGTGATTTGTTGAGCTATTGCTGCAAGGCAAAAGCCTCGTGTCGGCTGCACCTTTGATATTCACTTCGCTGTTGGGTGTACATAATGACCAGACTACATTGGTATTCCTCGAACCTCCCCTGCTTTTACTTCACCTGTGGCCAAATGGCTCACCCTGTGCGGACCTTGCAGCCAAATAGACCCTGTA